ATTAACTTTATATACAACCCAAATTTGAACACTCCAGGTCTAAAAATGTTCAAATTAGGCTGAAAAAACAAAATCAATTTTTCGATTATTCTCGATAAAAAAGTTATCGGACGATTTATCGAAAAAATAAAGCAAACTCGTACTGCGTATGGTACACACGAGTATGCATGTCAAATTTCAGCTCTCTAGCTCTTATAACTTCTGAGATCGACGCACTCATACGGACGGACGGACGGACGGACGGACAGACGGACAGGGCTATATCAACTCAGCTCGTCGCGCTGATCAAGAATATATATACTTTATGGGGTCTGCCACGCCTCCTTCTGCCCGTTACATACTTTTTCACAAAACCATTATACCCTGATTTCCCATTTTCAATGGGTTCAGGGTATAATAAATTAAGCAATTAAACTTCCCCGTATACCCTTACATTGAGTACATACGAATTGCCTAGTGATGAGTATGTCATGAATATGTAAATATTTTTCTACATTTTCGAATTACTTATGTAGTTAATGAAACTAAAGTTGTTCAAATTATAACTATTATATCATATGGATGATACATATGTATATATAATAAAATTGTATGTAATATATATGATATAAATATCATATACAGTGTAAATATTTGATCTAAGTAAAGAGTATTGTTTGGCGCTGTTTTTTTCTCACTATAATTTGTGACATTACTGCTATGGCTTGCCGCATGCCCCACTAATGAGTGCTGCAATTGGTAAATGACCCATTTCTATTTGACTTAAGAACTGTCAAAGCAACTAGGAAAAAAAAAACGTTAATAGCAGAGAAGCAGAGTGGGAAAAGCAATTGCAACAGGGGCTAAGCAAATGCAAGGGATATACATATACAAACATACATACATATATATTTGTTTGTGTGCGGCTTTTGCCGGGCAATTTGGGTCAAAACGGCAACAATAACAAAAATGCAACGACAGCCTGAAACAAGTTTCGAGTATATACTGTAATATAGTTACAAATACATATGCACATATATATACATATGCGTGTGTATAGACATATGTTGACAAAGACTAGCGTCAGCTAGCCACAGCTGCAGTGGGAGGGGGGCAATAGATAAGTAACGCAAAAAAGAAAAAAAGAAAATAAAATCGAAAATAGCGAAAGAGAATGAAGCTGCTGCAGCTCTTTGTAGTGTGCATTAACAACAGTAAAAACTAACGGTAGCTGGCGCTGCAAGAGTGACGCGAAAGCAACTGGTGGAGGAGTGCACTGGTACTGACTAAAGGCAAAGCACCAGACACATAAATATATATATATATATAGAAATATGTGCACGCAAGTATGCGTCATGCAGTGCAGCGATCTATGCTTGTATAAATAAGTTTTGATATGTCTATGGATGTATGTGTGTTTTTATGTAAATAAATATGCAGGCGAATGCAAATGCGCAAAGAAAAACAAAAACAGCAAAGCAAAGCACAGCAAGCGCAGCTGTAGAAGGCGGCGATGCAACAGATTTCAGACATTTTCATTCATAAAATTAATAAAAACAGCAAAAGACAAACAACGAAACGTGCTCACTCACACACATGAACTCACAGATGCATGCATGTCTGTATGTATGTATATATTTATATATATAGAGAGAGAACATGTACGCACCTTGTTCAAAGTAACTCAAAACTGAATGATGCAACACATGTGTGTATAAGAGTGCGTGTGTGTGAGCAACACCTATATACATATGTATGTATGCTAAATATAATAAGACGCATTCACACCCATGCACATGCACACACATACATATATGTGTGCATTTAATGCCAAAATAAACAACATAGAATGCAGTCGAAGTGTGAGCGCTGACGTCAGCTGCGCAGCCAGCGTACCGTACGCGTGCGTGTATGTGTGTATGTGTAAAAATGCTTAAGTGTGTGTGTACATGTGGACGTGTAGCATATTGATTGCGCGGCACAAAGGCAGAGGGGCGCGTGCAGTGATAACAAAGTACAAGCGCGCGTCTGCGTTCAGGTGTGTGTGTGAGTATGTATTTTGCGCGTGTGTGTGAGCTTTTGTGAGCGAGTGCGAAGCAGCAGAGGTCATTGCTTAGCAGGGGCGCCAGCACGAGCGTCAGTCAGTCACATGTCAAATACAATTATAAAAAAAGATTACTCTCGCATTGCACCGACTCTACAATACTCTATCTTTATCAATTGAAATGCATACAAATAAATGTTCATGTTAGCAGTAGTCGGCATTTACTGTTAACTTTATGATTGGTATAAGAATGTTTCACATGTGGTTTTTATATTTACTTAACATCCACACAAACATACTACAAAACTAATATGCCGCTCAGCTCATTCGGTAGAGAGCGTATAACTACATTAGCAATTTGCCCTCTCTTAAGTGACAGACATTAAGGGAGAGAGTTGGAGAAGGAGAGCAGAGCAAAAGAGGGAGTAGGTGCAAAGTTCTCTATTGTTGCTTAAGCACGAGGCGACGTCAACGAACTGCAGCAGTGCTGACATTTACATATTTTTGAGGCTGTGCCATATGGGCGTGGTGGGCGTAATGTGGGCTTACCTCTTCTCTTCGAAATTAAATACTAAAATAGCCCGCACATGTTTGTGACATGTGACGCATGCGCAGTTCTGCTTAAACTGTGCGCAACAGTTGAACAGTTTGAGAGGAAGCGGCAGAAAAAATGCAAGACAAGCCAAAAGCGCAAAACTCTCAACTCCGAGCAAGAGTCGAAAAGGAAATAAAAAGCGGCGGCGGCAGCAAATTATTCGCTGTCGTTTCGACTTCAATTCCTGGAAAAACAAGCAGTGAAAAAGTAGAAAAAAATAAGCTTCAGCACACACAGAGATATACTTGTGCATACACATATTCACAAAAAAAAAAAAAAACAGCAATAGAAAGAGCAAGAATGAATACAAGCTAAGAGAGAGTCGTGCAGAGACGCAGAGACGGATAAGAGACATACATATGTGGCAATGGAATGCGCCTTGTGCTGCTGCTGGAGAAGAAGACGGCCGGTATGTGAAACTGGTGTTGTTGTTGTTCTTGTCGGCTTTGAAGATTGACAAACTCAATTCGACGGCAGACACAAGCACAGCCACACATACATAGCCGCATGCATCTATGGCCTTTTGCATTGCCAATTCGCCTTGTGGTGAATTCGCTCTGTGCTTATACGCTCACTCTCTCTTGCACTCTCTTATCGATCAGTAGCGGCGCGCGCTTTCATTCATAAATAGAGTTGCCACACGCTGTGAATTCGCTGGAATTGCGGGAAGCTTTTTAATTGAATAAGAAGTTCTAATATGAGAGATTATTAAATATAAATATAAATATAAATATAAATATAAATATAAATATAAATATAAATATAAATATAAATATAAATATAAATATAAATATAAATATAAATATAAATATAAATATAAATATAAATATAAATATAAATATAAATATAAATATAAATATAAATATAAATATAAATATAAATATAAATATAAATATAAATATAAATATAAATATAAATATAAATATAAATATAAATATAAATATAAATATAAATATAAATATAAATATAAATATAAATATAAATATAAATATAAATATAAATATAAATATAAATATAAATATAAATATAAATATAAATATAAATATAAATATAAATATAAATATAAATATAAATATAAATATAAATTTATATAATAATATTTTTCAAAATATCTTTGATATGTGCAGAAGGGTATTAAGACGTCGATCTCAATTCATTATCATTTTACGTCTTTTTTTGGGTTTTGTGGCGACGCTGGCTGCGACTGGAGTGAAATTACTTCCAAGAAAAATAAACACGATATTAAATGTGCAACATTCCAGTCGACGACGGCGGCGCTGATGGCAGCAGCAGCCGATCGAGATTTTTGCAGTGTTGCTGATCTTGTATTGCTGTTGTTGTTGATTTTGCAAAATGAGAATCGAGTTTTTGCTGTTAGTTAGTATTTTGCTCGAGTTGTCTGTCTGCCTGGCTGCAGTTACGATGCCGTTATGGCAACAGGATGTTATCTGTCTCCATCTCTCTCTCTCTCTGTCTCTGTCTCTCTTTCTCTTGCATATGTATGTTAAGCTGCATATATTTGCTACCTATGTTTTGTAATGCTCCCTTTGTGAATGTAAATGTAAAATGTATGTAAACGTGTTTAACTCATATATTCATATACATGTCATTTGCTACGCCCACAATTAGTTTAGTTAGAGCTTTAAAATAGTCGAAGCACCAATATATATGTGTATATACATTGCTTTCTCTTCTACTCGCTCTCTCCTCCCTTTCTCCGACCCTCTCCTTTTCTCTCCCTCTCTCTCTATCACACATTTTGTCATTCGAATCTTGTTGCATTATCATTCATCATCGTCAAACCGACAGCACACAGCCCCTAATATTGCAAAGAAAAATGAAAATAAGAATAATTTCAAATCCAAATCAAAATAAATTAAAATTAAAAAAATATATATTATACCCAGATTTACCATTGAAAATGGGTTCAGGGTATAATACAATGAATTAAAGCTAAAATCAATATAAATATAAATTTGCGATACTCTATATAAATCCAGCATATCGAATCCTTGCAGTCTCTCTTATAATATTCACGCTCGCTATCTCGCTCTATAGATGTTAGTTACGCTGCTGACTCTTTTACTGACAAACTGCTCTCTCCTTTTCCTTTCTATTCTACTTCTTTTTTTTGGTTTGCCTCTTTTTTTTTTTTTTAATTTTTTAATTTTGTACAAATAAAACAAAAAAATGAAACAATTGTACCTTAACTGAACTTTTATTTTTGTTAATGTGTTTTCTTTTTTTTTTTTTTGTTTCTGTTCTAATTTTTCTTTGTTTGTTTTTGATTTGTTTCTTATTTCTTATTTCTCTTTTTGTTTTCTTTCTTTTTTCGTTTTGTTTTTTGTTTTTGTGTGTGTTTTTACGCTATTTTCTTCACAGTGTTACGACATCAAAAATCTTAATAAGCGGCATACCGCTGCAAACACGTTTCGAAGACATCGAACCGCTACTGAAGCCCTATGGCATCGTCAAACAGTGTGAGGCTATTTCTAGTAAGGATCAAAATACTCAAACAGTACATATAACATTCGAAAATCCTGAGCAGGCGCAAAGGTATATACATTCAACAATAAAAAAAGTATATATATATAAATAGAAATTAATTAAAAGAAAAACCATATATAAGAAATTCGAAACAAAAAAATTATCAAAATTTACTTAATACAAGATTTTTGAGTTTTGACATGGTTCAAAATCTCGTGTTAAGTGTCGAGCATACATACATATGTGCATACATATACACATATAAATATATATATATATGTATGCCTGTATAGATATATATGTGTATGTGTGTATATAGATGGGAAATTATCGAAAGCTCGCTGATTTTTCCGTTATTTATCAATTAGTCTCATCGAAATTCGAACCTCTCAATATGCGTATGTATGTATATGTGATGTATATGTATGTATATATGTATATGTGTATAGTTATTGTAGATCAAATCCCATTAAAATCTCAGTAGTATCTTACCTTTCCACCATTTCGTTGGTTGAGGGGCGGGGGAGGCAAGGAGACTTGGCTGTGACAGTGGGGGCGGGGTCGGAAGTGGGGGCTGTCGTGTGTGTCTAGGGCGTTTGTGATTGTAGCAACCATATATATGTGATATATATATACATTGCCTGTCGATCTGATCCTAATCGCTATCAAATTATATATATATATATATATGTATATCTATTTATATATATATGTATATACACAACACTTATGCATACATACATACGTACATATGTATATTCATCAAAACTGTCCCCTTCTATCACTTTTCTCACACTGATCGAATTTTTCTCGTCTCTTCTCTTTGTTTTCGCATCATATTTTTCGTTCCGTTTTTAATGCTTGTTTATTTTTCTTCCGTTTCTGTTTTGTTTTCGTTGTTTGTTTTTGTCGCGCCGTCGTCTCCCATAGAGCTGCTGGTGGCCTGAACGGCGTCGAATTCGAGGGCAGTAAACTGCACGCCGAGCAATTGGACAAAAATCAACGCCGAAGCATACGCAATCAGCGCAATCCGTATCCGGGAATGCCGGGACCCGGCCGCCAGGCGGACTTCCCGCTACGCATTCTGGTGCAGAGCGAGATGGTGGGCGCCATCATTGGCAGACAGGGCACAACCATACGCACCATCACACAACAGAGTCGGGCCCGTGTCGATGTGCATCGCAAGGAGAATGTTGGCTCCCTCGAAAAGTCCATTACGATTTATGGCAATCCGGAGAACTGTACCAATGCGTGCAAGCGCATACTGGAAGTTATGCAACAAGAGGCACTGTCCACGAATAAGGGGTAAGAGAAGCAATATATTATAGAACGATCTATACGTACTTATACTTATATCTCTCCCTCGCTCTCCCTTATGTTGCAGTGAGATCTGCTTGAAGATACTAGCCCATAATAATTTAATTGGTCGCATCATTGGAAAGAGCGGCAACACGATTAAACGCATTATGCAGGATACGGATACGAAGATAACCGTTAGTTCCATCAACGACATCAACAGCTTCAATCTGGAGCGTATCATCACGGTGAAGGGCCTCATCGAGAACATGTCCCGTGCAGAAAACCAAATCAGCACCAAACTGCGCCAAAGCTATGAGAACGATTTGCAGGCAATGGCGCCTCAGAGCCTCATGTTCCCCGGTCTCCATCCCATGGCAATGATGTCGACACCGGGCAACGGCATGGTCTTCAACACAAGCATGCCGTTCCCCTCGTGTCAAAGCTTTGCCATGTCCAAGACACCGGCCAGCGTGGTGCCACCGGCCTTCCCCAACGATATGCAGGAGACCACGTTTCTCTATATACCAAACAATGCAGTTGGGGCCATCATCGGCACCAAGGGCTCGCACATACGCAGCATAATGCGCTTCTCGAGCGCATCCCTCAAAATTGCGCCCCTCGACGCCGACAAGCCGCTGGACCAACAAACGGAGCGCAAGGTCACGATTGTTGGCACACCGGAGGGTCAGTGGAAGGCGCAGTATATGATATTTGAGAAGATGCGCGAGGAGGGTTTCATGTGCGGCACGGACGATGTGCGCCTAACCGTTGAGCTGCTTGTCGCCAGCTCCCAGGTGCGTCAGCTGATCCGATACAGAAGCGCATGTAGAAGCATAGATTGATTCGTGCTATAGTAGCTTCAGTGAATTTGTATATTTCATATATTTTATACATTGTATTTCCGTTCATCCGCCAGGTCGGACGCATCATTGGCAAGGGCGGACAGAACGTGCGTGAGTTGCAACGTGTGACGGGTAGCGTCATTAAGCTGCCAGAGCATGCGCTGGCGCCACCCTCAGGCGGCGATGAAGAGACACCTGTGCACATCATTGGGCCATTCTACAGCGTTCAGGTAGGACATTGAGTGGAGTCATAGTAATTGTAATAGTGCATGAGTTATTTAACAATTGTTTAATGGATTTTGCAGTCTGCACAGCGACGAATTCGTGCCATGATGCTATCGACAAATCCGCCACCAGTGACCAAAAAACAGAAGGCTGCCAAAGAACAACAATTGCAACAACAACAACAACAGCAACAGCAACAACAACAGACATTAGCCGGCGCTGCGCCAAGTGGGACTCAACAGCAGCAGCCGCAGCAGCCGCAGCAACAACAACAACAGCAGCAGCAACAGCAGCAGCAGCAACAGTCGCCGTCGCAGCAGCAGCAGCCGCTGCCGCCGCAATCACATCATCAATCGTCGTCGGCGTCGTCGGCGCCACCTGCGCATCATCAGCAGCAGCAGGCGTCGTCGACAGCGTCCTCACATCAATTGCAGCAGCAGCAGCCGTCGCCGCCGCCCGGCAACAATGCATCGGCTGCCACCCAACAACAACAACAGCAGCAGCAGCAACAACAGCAGCAGCAGCTGGCGAGTTCACAGCAGTAAGAAGCTGCAGCAGCCGTGTGTGGGACTGGGGCAGGGGCAAGGGCAGTGCAGAAGAGTCGGGCAAAACTCAACTTGAACAACAACGTCAAGAATTTACCATAATGGCAATAGCAAGAAGACAAACCTACATTTGGATTTCTTTGAACTTCAATCAGGCAACAACTTGCAGTTGTTGCAACATCAGCAGAAGCAACATGAAGATCAACAACAACAACAACAGCAACTCTCGTCCCTCTGCAGCTCAACAAGAAGAGCAAGAGAATTGATAGAAATGCAACAGCGAATGAGCAGCCAAAGAGCAACAGCGCAGCGCTCTCTAGCAGCTAGGAAGGAGAGCGAGAAGGCAATGTGTACAACTGTCAAATGCTTGCTTATCAAATAAAACACAGGGTGTTCCCAGCATGAGGCGCCTAAATGTTGAATGGCAACGCACTGAATTGTTGTTTCTCATGGTGTGACTGCTCAGGTTTTTGAAATTGTTTATCATTTCTACTGAACAACAAACACACAGCCAGGCACACACACACACACACCACACACACCACACACACATACCACAAATACATAATTGAAGAGAGATAAATGCCCGATCTTTATTCAGCAGCTTTTTACCAATAAGCCAGTCCCCCTCTGCAGATGAATATTTTGCCTCATGAAAAGAATGAGGAGGAGAGTAACACACAACAAAAAGAAACACAACTAAACAAAAGTAAGAAAAAAATGAAAGAATTAACGAAAAGAAAATTCAAAAACTATGCCTTACGGCAGTAAATTCTTTTTTTTTTTAATATATTTATATATATGAATATATATATATATATAGAAACAACATAAAATTAAACATTTTTATGAATTATTTTATTTTTTTTTTAAATCCTTTTTAGTAAGCGTAAATTAAGTGAACAAACAAACAAACAAAAAAAAAAAAAAAAAGAAACGAAAGTGAAAAGCAAAAAGAAAAACTAAAACCAATCAATTGGTTTGTGTGTGTGTTTTATAATTGTTTTCTCTTGAATTTTATTAAGCATATTGCATTTGATTTTGCATAAAATTTGTAACAGTTCATTGTATACAAATCAGATAGAAGGACAGCAGCAGCGAAACAGAAAGGAAAACAAAACAAAATTTAAAATTGTATTTTATAATTAAATATTAATACTATATTTCGTATTTGCTAATTAAAACAAAAACAAACAAACAAAGAAAGAAAATATCCCAAATTTCAAGCAGGTGTCAACTTTAGCCCACCTTTTAATAAAACAAAAAAATCAACAACAACCTATAAGTAGATAAAAACTACAATTAAACTTAAAAACCTCACTTAAAACTAACCTAAAAGAAAGGCGAAACCAACTAAAACGAAAAATAAATCAAAACACAAAAAAAAAAAAAAAAAAAAAAAAAAAACCAACAACTAAACATGAATGTAATGAAACGTAAATACCATAAATTATACAACACACAAGTGTTCAATTCGAGGGTCGAAATAAGAGTTTTCCATAGGTGTATATATACACACACATACAGTCTCACACAAACACACACACACACACACATTTATACATATGTATTTTATCTGTACTCTCTGTGTATAACAGCTAAGAAACAACTGTTATACCCGCCAAGTCGAGCCAGCGATGAGACGCAGACAACTTTGTAGTATAACTTAACTGAAAAGAAAAAACAAAAAAGAAAAGAATATTACAATACACACACACATATATATATATATATATATATATATATATATATATATATATATATATATATATATATATATATATATATAGTCCTACGAATATATAGTTTATATTTAAGTTGTGTCTCTCACCTAAATGCCAAGCAAGCAATGTTAGTGTACAGCTGTGTATAATAGTTTTCGAGAATTGAGAATTTGAGATTACGAGTATATATATGAAACTGAATTGTTACTATTGTTTGAGCGATAGAGGAGGAGAGGAAGTCGAAGGTAGAGAGCGAGAGAGTGGAGGAGAAGGAGAAGGAGGAGGAGAGGAGAGGAGAGGAGAGCATTGTAATCTGTTTGCCTTGAAACAAAAACAAAAAATAACGGTGCTGAAATGTTAATTTTTATATAACGAAAAAAACAAGCAACAAGTGTTACATAAAAGTGTTATATTAAAAGAAAAGTTATAAAAAAAAAGAAGAGAGAAACGAGAAACGTTAACAACAAGCTGTTATATAAATCACAACATATGTATACCTATATATAACAACACATTACAATATGCGGCCCCATTTCAGGCCCAAACATGCTGTGGCCGAAATGCGGGCCAAATGTTGTCACTTTTTTTTTTTTTTCTTTTTAAGATTTCATTCATAGTTTAAATGTTGGCGTTTCGTACATACATCAATGTACATCAATGTACCGAACTTGTCATTATTATTTCGCATACGTTTTCTTTCCTCTAATTTACACAGCAAACATAAAATAGATGTATATGCATATACATACAAATATAGTGTAAAACAGTTAATTTTCCATAGCTGCTAAAATCGTAACTGAAGTAACTGAATCGGAGCAACAAACAATCAAACAGGAGCCAAGACAATAGCCCAATTTTGTTGAAATAGACATAGAAATAGAGAATAATAACGTGAAATTTTTTATTATTATTAACCACTTATATATCTTCTTTTTTTTATATACATATTTTACAATTTTTTTGTTTGTTAAACATTACATTACATACATATTACATAAACAAGCATCTTTAATTACATAAATACATACATATTCACATAGATTAATCACTATATTCCCTTTTTGTTTTCTTACTGCATTAAGTTAGATATATATCCTATATATATATGCAGACTTTATATATATAAATATATATATATATATATAGATCTGTTAAATATATAGATTACAATACAATAGACAGTTAACAGCTCGGGCTTTGCGTTACTTTTGCCTGTATAACACTTGCATTTTAGACTGTTATATTCGTGCATTTATAACTGAATAGAACAACAACAACAAAATCAACATTTCGGCCAGAAGAAAACTAACAAGAGAAGAAAAAACCGTTTCATAACAGACAAAGATTCAAATTCAAATTCGAAAACTCAAAGCATTTTAGGGCAGATTTAGGACAGAGTTTTTTATTTTGTTTTTTATTTTTTTTATTTGTTTGTTATACATATAACACAACAAGAAAGAAAGAAAGGAAAAAAAAGGAAGAAAAACATACGGAAAGATCTATTGACGAAGATTGAAAAAGTAATTCAAATACCTCAATGTAAGTGCATTATCTTATATGACAAAAAAAAAAAAAAAAAACTCAAGTAAAAAAAAAAAAAAAAAAAAAAAAGAAATACAAAGCAAGCGATAAATGTAAAGCAAATCAAATAAATGTTAAAAGAGCAGGAAAAGCTTAAGAAAAGAGCAACCTAACGAAATATATAAAGTATGAGCTGAACAATTGCAGAAGAAACTGAAAAGGAGAAAAACAAAAAACAAAAATGATTGAAAATAATCATAAAGAGAAGATAATTTTGATAGTTTTTAAGCAATGAAATAAAAGAAAAGAAAAGAAAAGAAGAAAATAACCTGATATACATACATATAAAATTAAAACAAACAAAAAGTAAGCGACGAATATAACAGAAAACAACAATAATAACAACAGCAACAACAAGAGCAACTCTGAGCCTTAGAGTGGGCGAAAAGGATAGATACTTTCCGCCATTAACCAACACTGCACACTAAAGAGAGATAGACATATAGCTCGCTCATATGTGCCAGCGTTGACGCCCTGAGTTGCATGCCAATTGAGAGTACGCAGGACAGATCCAGACATAGAACTAAAACTCAAACTCAGAACCGCAACTGAAACCAGAATCAGAACCAAGAACCACGAACTACGAACCACCAGACCCATTATGGAATAAATCAAGTGAAAATTGTTAATGTTTTGCTATTTCCTATTAAGAAGGAGTAAGAGATAAGAAAGATAGAAAGAAAGAAGGAAAGAAGAAGCAGCTGCTATACAGTCCCATATATAACTGAACGTTTTGTGTAGCTTGAGTAAATTTGGAGCATGGGGGATGGGCAGGTTTATTATGAAGTGTGTATATACAAAGGAATTTTTTCTAGGCATAACAGTAATATTTATAAATATTTATATATGTATGTATATATATTTATATATATGTATATATATATATATATATATATATATTTATATATCTATATATATATATATATATATATATATATATATATATATATATATATATATATATATATATAAAAGTATATATAAACTGATGAAAAACTTGTTTTGTTATGATTGAGAGAATATATATATATATATATAGACATATATATAAATATATATACATATATATATATATAAAATTTTGTTCGTTGACGTCTTCGAGTTTTGAGTGTAGCGTATAGGAAAAATGTCCAAAGTTGTCAATACAAAGAGCATATACTTATATACTACTATTTAGCAAGCCCAAATGAATGACCTATGATGATGTTAGTAAACATATATGAAACTCTATATATGTGGAAAAAAAAAAACAAACAAAAAAAAAAAAAAGCGTAAAACGAATTTTTCTAAAAAATTCCAAAAATATAAACTAGGATAGAACATGGCAATGTTTCTGAACTTGCATTGTTTTTATTTTGCATAGAATTCCAAATGCTGAAGCAAGAGAAAAGAGAGGGAGAGAGAGAGTAGGTAAAGCTAGAAAGTGAGAGAGAGAGAGAGAGAGAGAGCAGAATGGTTGAGTTAACTAACTAACTATTGACTATGAAATGCTCTGTTTAAGATATAAAAGAATACCAATTGGGAGGGGCTTAACAAGCACTATTACAACTAATAATAAACAATAATAATAATAAAATTAAATTAATAATAATTATAAATGATGTGAATGATGCAGCAAGAGTTGATTGATTGACCAGAGAACAATCACAAAATGTGAGTTGGAGAAGCGTGCGCGTTGAAAACGACAGCGAGAAAGAGAGAGGGAGAGGAAGAGTGAGAGAGAGAGAGAGAGAGAGCAAGGTTTAGAGAGCAGCAAAGAAATTATTTTTTAGTATTTAGAGGCTATTTTATATCGTTATTAAAGAGAAAGTGAAGAGACAGAGAGAGAGAGAGAGAGAGAAAGAAAGAAAGAAAGAAAGAAAGAGAGTTGGGGTTGAAGAAAATTAAATTTTAGCTTGCAAGTTGAAAAGAAAACAATAAGAACAAACGCTGGTATGTGACATTGAAAAAATTTGAAGTAGGAGAAGAAGAAGAAGAAAACACAGAATGTCGCTAGTCGGTTCGCAACAACAGTTATTAGAAACGGTTAGCTTAGACACATGGGTGGTGGTAGGAGGCGGGTGTTGTCTTTGAAATTTCAAAACTTGATTCAAATGCCTTCAGCTCATTTTATAACGGATTTTTAAGTTTTTGTTAAAATTTGCTATAATTTTGCTCATTAAATTCTTTAAATAATTTCATGTTTATCAATTGCATTTACCTAACACACATACGTAGACACATACACATACAAATGCATACACACACAGGCACACACACATACACAGAGACATGGACAGACAGCCGGACCGACAGTTCGTTTCACAAGCCAAGCGAATTTTCCATTTTCTTTTCACACGAGAGACAACAAAAACAACAAAACGACAACAACCAACAACAACAACAACAAGCGAAAGTTAAAATTTAATTTATCTAAAAGTACTTTTTGTGTTGTAAGTTGTGCCAAGTACTGATAACGTTTAAGGTGTGATAAACTCGTTTTAAAATTTAACAACTATTTAAACTATTTACTGCTAAAAAACAAAACGAAAAAAAAAAATTGAATTATAAAATTAAAGAAAAATTGTATTATTTTTTATAAAATGCTTTCGATGTACATTTTATGATAAACACACACATAAACCTACACACACACACACACACACACACACTAGGCAGCACACCCAGGACTTCAAAAGTACTTTGACATTTGATTTGACAGCAACAACAGCAACAACAACAACAACAACAACAACAAAAGAAATGCTTTGCGATTACAATTTACTATTTATTTTATTCATATGTATATATATATACGAATACGAGTATATGTATGTATGTATATGTATATATATATCCATTTATGTATATATATGTATGTATGTATACTATTATTTTTTTTTTTAATTTTTTAACGTAAAACCTTTAAAAGTTTAAACTCTAAAGAAAACAAAAAACAAAACAAAACAAAAAACAAAACTAAAAAAAAAATTAAAAACACTTAAAAAATGAAAAAAAAAAAGTGAAAGAAAAATGAAGGGAAAATACTTTTAAAAAGGGCATATTTTTTTATATACATATATTTACATATTTACATAACGTTTTTAGCGGTACAAACATCGTGAGTACAAATCAATATTTATTTTGTTTTTTCGTTTGTTTTTTGTCTATTATAAAGAAGTAACGAGAAGAAGAATTTAGGGATTTCCTCAAAAAAAAAAAAAAAACAAAAATATTTTGTTTTCAATTGTTAGGCGACAGTGAAAAAGTTTTCGAAGAAAAAAGAAAAAATGGGGAAACAGTTGAGAGACACTGGAATACGCACTCTTTTTTTTTTTTAATATTATATACGATGATATAGAAAGATAACGATATAATGCGAGTTTTAACGTAGGCTAAACGACGACACGCATAGCAAGTTAACAGCCGAGCAAAGCAGCAACAGCAGCAGCAGCAGCAGCAAATAGCCCAAAAAGCAGCCAAATCAGCCAAATCTCACATGCAAGTAAAAGAACGAATACGAATGAGAGTAGCAAGAGAAAAATATTTAACGAACATAAAATACTAACTTAAAACATTAAGGTACTAAAAATAATGGTATTCAAATTGTGAAACTCCGGAAGCGCAGAGCACGTCAGAAGAACGAAAAGAAGATGAAGAAAATACAATAACAAATGAAATAAACAAAAATTGGGGGTTAATTTTGTTTAAACAACAAATATAATAATAAATGAAAATAAAATGATTTTGTTTGCAGAAAAGTTGGACGCAAAATAAAAAATGAACACCAAACAGTAAAAATGAATTCGAAATGAAACAAGAAAAGCGAAAACAATAACAAAACAAGACAAAACTAATGAAACAGCTGGATAAGGTCAGAGATTTAGAAGCATTAAAGTTAAGAGCAGAGTACTAGAAACAGAACCAAAACAGCAGACAGACAACAACAGCCAGAACCGTTAAAAACTACTCGGATACGACACAACTGTACTAAAAAAAATAATTTTAAAGAAAAAAATAAAAAAACAACAACAAATACCACTGAAACGTTTGGCATATGAAACACAATGCATGGAACGTACATAAAAAATAATTTATAATATTAAACAGTTTAAGTTGCTGAGTAAGCAACTAAATTTGAGAAGCAAACTATGTGAATGTACTAAAAAACACACACTCACACATACATATATTTTTAGCATATAAGAAGAAGAGCAAAAAAAAAAGAGAATGGTGAAAATATGAAAACAAATACAAAACACAAAAATAAAAACATAACTGAAACAAATTTTTTGTCAGCCGTAAACGTTTTACATGTACTAAAAATTTGGTTAAAAAAAAAAAAAACAAACTGTAAACTAAAAAAAAAAAAATAATAAAATAAAAGCAAAACAAAAAATGCCCACACACCACTACCCACATACATACATACTATATATTATTGATAATGTTTGATTAAATGATTGACAGACACACACATATATACACACACTCACACACATAGAAATTTGAAGCGAGCCCTAAGCTAATTTCTCTCTATAATTCAATATTGTATTTAACAAGCAAATAATCGAAATGAAACAACAAATATTTCGCCTGCTTTTGTGTATTTTCCATAAAAAATAAAAGAAAAATAAGAAAAAATAAAAAAAAAATATATATAAAATATATATATGTAGTGTGCATCGAAACAGCAAAATTTATAAAGCAGCAAAACGTCGGAAAATTTTAAATGAAAAGAAAAGAAAATATAATTTTAATTATTAATACTTTTTTCGTTTCGCTGTTATTTTTTTTTTTTTTTTGTTTTTTTTTTTTTTTTTTTGCCCTTTGTATATTTCGCATTTTTTTTTTTAACATTTTCTATATAATGTAATTTATATTTGTGTTTAATATTAATTTTTTTTAATTGTAATAAATTTACACGGTAATCAACTGGAGACTGAGCTACAACATATATTTAGTTACCGTTATGTTTATTGCATTTAAAAAAGAAAAAAAAATACATAAAAAAAAAAGAAAAAATGGCAAAGGCCAGGATAACACACACACACACACCTACACACACATCAATCTTATATATATATATATATATATATATATATATATATATATATATATATATATATATAGTGAGTTTTTATGAAATGATGTCTAAACTGAATTTGGTTCGCTATATTCATTTCTTAAATAACCTTCACCGGTGACCCCTATCCAGACACCTTTAAAACAGTAAATAACCCTATTGAATTAGTAACTAAGTCCAGCTAACGGTTTGCCTGTGTGATAGTAGTTTATAATTAAAACCGTTCGCTGGATCCACCATCTCCAAATCATAAAAAAAAAACAACTGAAAACAAGAAGAAGAAGCATTTAAATGGCGAGCCAAGTAAAGAACCATAAACATTTATACATAATCCAAAATATATACACATATAATAACATGAGAAAATACACATAAAAATATATATATATATATATATATATACACAAATATATATAAACAAAAGAGAAAAACGAAAAAAAAAACTCTAAAATATTTTTATTTTTACTTTAATTATTTCTAAAGTACATACGTATCTGTAGTTAAAAAATTTTTTTTTCGTCGTCTACATTTTATTTGTTAAGTTCATTAATTAATCTACATAAATAAAAGATAATCTACAAAAGTGTAGGCGACCTAATGTATCTACATTGTACATTGTATCTACATTACTGAGCTAAACTATCTATAAATATTTTAAATATAACAAAACAACAACAAAAAAACAGTAAAATATTATTAAAAAAAAAAAAAAAAAAAAAAAAAAAAATCTTTTTATTTCAATTTTTATTTTAGATTCTGGGTTTGCTGATTTTCTTTTACAACTTCAATTGATATTGAAGTTATCATATTTTAGCTCGGATCCAGTTTTTGCAAACTTCGTATTTTTACCATGTTTTGTATATTTTGATTGAATGTTGTCTTTGGCCAAATCCAACACAACTTGTTTTTTTTTTTTTTTAATTTTTTATTATTATATTTTCTCTTCTCAATTTTCCGACATTTCCAACACGAATCTCGTTTACAGCCAAGGACAAGGCAGCGCACACAACCAACCGACCTCGAAATGATGCCAAGAAACGTGTGTTTAGGGCCAAACGCTTTTACTATGATGTAAATGTACCCCCGAGAATCTATTTGATATATAGTATATATTATATATGTATGTGACTAAACTACTGTAACTACTACTATATACCACACGAGCCGAAAACTCAACAAATCCCCTACCTAAAGCAAAACTTGTCTAAATTATGAATTTATTACATGTGTAGCATGTGTATCTGCAAAAGTAAGGCATAAAAATGTAAAAACTAAAACATAAGGAAACAAAAAACTAAACACTGAAAAAAAAAATACAGAATACACGCAACAAAAAATAAGAAACCAAAAAAAAAAAAAAAAAGAATCCAAAATGTGTATAAGTACATTTATATATACATTTATACGATACAAACTATATACTAATTAAAAAAAAAAATAATAATAATAAAGATATGCAAACTAAACATAAATAAATAAATGAATAAACTACCTCAGCTTTGAATATTTCTATAGAAATGTTATTAAATGTATTTGAAAGGAAAAAAAGATTTAAAAAAAGAGAAAAAAAAGTAAGATAAAGAAACAGAAATGGCAAACAAGTTTTAGAGCTGCATTTATATACATACATACATACAAACATACATGCATACATACTAGTAACAATACTATTTATACTAAGTGTACGTACATTTTGCATATTCCTATATAGCTAAATAAACATAAAAGCAAAATGGGTCACTAAAACAAAAATGAAACATAAATAAAAATGAAATCCTAAAACAAATTCATATAGTATATATATTTGTATACATAAAAAAGAAAAACAAAACAAATAACAATAATTTTGCGTCCATTTTTGTTGTTTCCTATACAATGATAAATTCTATGAAAACAAACGTATTTAATTACATATATAATTGTTTTAATGTGTGAACGTAACCAATCAGCAAAAGTAATCAACCAGCGGCAGCAGCAGATTTATGGAAATGTCTATACTACTTACATATATCAACTCAGTGTATGTTTGTCTCTGCCACTAAAAAAAAAAAAAAAAAAAAAAAAAAAAAAACAAAAACAATGCAAAAATAACCATAAACACGCAAGAAATAAATAATAAAACTACATTAAAATATATAATTAAAAAAAACCTTATCCATAAGAAAGCTTTCTCGGTGTCAGTTGTGTCATAGTTTAGATTCAAAGCAAAATTAAAAATTTATTAAAAAACTTCATAGATTAACCATTGATTTGCAAGACCTGCACACCACTGTGTATGCCATGTAGACATACAAAATTACACACTACTACAAAACTAAAGACAGTGTCCAGGCAACATTATTTAAACAGTCCCAAGCAGTGGTCTACTTTATCTAAGCATAATAACGAATGAAAACAAATATATACATGTGCGTACATTAAGTCAACTAACATTTTTCCTTTTCGGTGTAATTGATTGTTAAAGACACTATGGCGAAATGCGAAAAGCCAACCCAACAACAACAACACACAACAATACAATAAACATTAAACATTAAACTACTTTTAAACACACACCTCAAACATATTAGTAAATCAAAAATCAGAAATTTACACCCACGAATACATTATATTCCCCACATCAATCTAATGGCAAACCCAACTAAAATGTTAAACAAATAAAGATAAAGTAAAATTTTTGTGAACATGTGAAAAACGAAAAAAAAAAAAAAAACGAAAGGAAATTTACCCAATAAATGATTTTTCGTATACACTTGGTTATTATTTCAAACTTGGCGCCGAATATGCCCGATAAATATGATAAGCTATCGATACATCTGTTTATTAGCGATAGTTCTTCCTGCACTCAGTGATGATTCAAATCACATATAGCAGCTTGCAATATTAACGGCTATTCACATTATATTTAAATTGTCCAATAACTTAATGAACTGTTTTTACATCTGAACTATCTTGCGACTTAACTAAAAGCTAAAATTCATATATTCCCCGAGCTTAAAGCTCAATGCGTTACAATTATTTGGTTGGTTTATTTTCGCTGTAATGCAGCCCTGGATTCATTTTAGCCGCCGTCAATTCAAACAAGGCTGCACAAACACAAAATAAAAACTTTAAGCTATATTTAGGTTAAATATAGCACAGACCACTATATATTGCTAAAAAATTAGAGTTACAAAGGCAGGAAGCTTTAACTTTGGTAATTGTGCATTGCGTGCCATTTAGACCATTTTAGACCGTTTTGCGATATTTGGTCACCCTGTGAAGTACTAAAAGTATTGATATCGATTTCGTTACACATCGATGACTACAGTAATCGTCCCAAAGAAAAAGCATAAAAGCATAAATGTATTTACAGTTTACAAACAGAAATAACTATAACAACAGCATAGAGCGGAGCGCTTTAAATATAACGTAAATAAAAAAGCCAATAGCAATAAAATCATTCTGTAAGCTATAATAGTGTAATATGACACTTAGATTTTAATTGCGCGCGCTATAAAACTTAAATATATATGTATTTCTAACTTATTTCTGGAAGGAAGAGTCGCCTTTTGTCGGCTTAATAGAACAAACGTGTGTGTGTGTGTGAGTGTGTTAGTGTGAGTCTGTGTCTGTGTCGGTCGCTGCGTCTGTGGCTGTGTGCGTGCGTACAATACATAACAACAAAAGAGTGGACAACACCTTGGCGACGCTAACAAATTGAATTAGGAGCTTTAGAGTGTAAACAATGCTGACTGACGTATATGGGCATATGTCCATCTTTGTCTCCCCATCCTCAATGAAGCAAACAACAAGTAGACGTTGCGCCTACTGTCATTTGGGCTATTTATATGGCGATTAGCATGCTCAACGAGGAAATGAATTGAAAATGGGGTGGGTTTTGGTCATGGGGAAATTGTTGCCGGGCAGGTCGATCAAAAGGCATTCCATATGCATAGAGCTGCATATATGCTATGCAAGACTCTCTGTCTGTGTATGTGTGTGTATTTGTCTATTCATGCATAATTCATAATCAACGGGCTGAACTAAACTCATATGTAATAAATTAGCTCAGATACATTGGCTGCCAGCGGGAAACAAGAAGCACAGGTTCCCAGTTTTCGTTCTCGTTGTTGTTGTTTTTATTAGTATTATATTTGTTTCGTGCTTTTGTTTGTGGGACGCAAGAGTAGATTCCACCCACTTAACAGCATGCAAGCAGCAAAAGTGGATGGCACCGGCTGTGCCTGACCTTGGAGCATCGACTCTACGTATAAGCTTCATATATATTCATATATGTATGTGTATATGTACAATTGTTCATCAATCTATTCAATGCAATCTGTAGACAAATGCAAGGCTTTAAGGCGCACTTCGTTGCTCCGACGCTTCGATAGATTGGACTTTGAGTCGTTATTAAGTAGTATCTCAGCTTGTCGTACCACTCTCACGCTAGTCGCCTTGATAAGACGACGACGATTGCTTTTGAATGGAATGCATTTGAAGCATATACATACATATATAGCATTGTAGCAACTATATAATTATATATGCATCGTGATACATGCACAAATGTTCGCTAAATCTATACGCTTTAAACGACGTATTTAACCTAATGCTCCAGCTGATTAAATCAGTGAACTAAGCTTATCATCACAAATAATGGCCAACAAAAAATAACGATAATTGTGAATTTTGTCACAACAAACTCAGCAACAAGTCCAAGAATTTTAATATTTCCTTGATTAAACTATTATTTTCAAATTATACGATTCTTTGAATTCAAGTTCTTAAATATAATATAATATGCACCATAATATTGCATAAGTACACATTTTTGAATATTCAAAGTGATTCTATGTATATTTTTAATTTCTCTTTGAATTAATTTTGTTTGATAGCATATGCAACCAAACACTTTGCCCATTTGAAGTGAATTGAACAATTTCTTTGTTAACAAATTAATTAGGCAGCTAGATTGGTAGGGGTAGACAACAGATAGGGCTTATCAAATTTCGCTTAGCTAATCCGGAATCAATTCGACATCGTCGCGACAAGTTCGATAAGGTAAACACAGCAAACCAATTGAGTTATAAACATAAAAACTCCAATAATATAATGGTATATTGCGCTATCTCTCTATCATAAAGGGGATTGGGGTTTGGCTACCTTATCAGGCTCCAGTGTCAATCATTGGGCCTATTACAATCGGGCGATATATCAATATACATAAACAAAATATGTGTAGAATCAAAGCGAATGGTATTTAAATAACAATAATCGACAGAACCAGCTGCTGAAAGCAATCCACAGTGCAGCGAACGGGGCCAGCTGCAGAGCGAGCTGAGAGCGGACGATGAATAATCTACTGCAGGATATACAAAACAAATACTCATTTCTGGATAATCTATTCAGTCACGTATGGAAATGCATTATTCAATCGAATTTAAAGCTCAAGCTCCAACTGCGAAATATTCAGTGGAAGAATGCCAAAGCAAAGCCCGGCTGCGCCTACCAACCCACAGAAGTAAGCCATATTAAATAAACCTAAGAAACATACATAGGAATTTGTATGTAAATATAAATATATACATATATATCTTTATATTCAAATTGATTTCCTTTTAAAGATCGAACAAGTGGCAAATGTTATCACCCATGGCATTTGGATAGTTCCCGCCGTTTTTGCCGTCATCAAGCTCTTTGAGCGCTCTAACAGCTATAGCCAATATTTAGTCTCATGGGTCTATGGCACCACGCTCTGTATGCTGTTCACAGTTTCCACATTTTTTCACTGCTCTTGCTACTGTGCCGAACATAAGTGAGTTTCGCTAAAATATTTAGCTAGCCTGTTCCACTTTCTACCCAGTTTTTTTCTTCAGACCGCCAAAAAACTACAATGCTTGGCCCACATTCGGCTGGCAGACGTATCAGGGTCTAAAGAATGTCTTGCATCGCTGCGATCGTGCCATGATCTATGTGTTTATTGCCGGCTCATATTTTCCTTGGTTGACGCTGGAGAATACCGACCATTCGGCTACACTCTTTTGTATGGAATGGATTATTTGGCTAATGGCTGCTATTGGGATTGCTTACCAACAAGTAAGATAAGATGCGAGCGTTTATCAATCGATCGAGCTTATGATCTTCATTTTGGCCTTGTCTTGCGGTTTCGTTTACTTACAGCTCTACCACGAACGCTACAAATGTCTGGAGACCTTCTTCTATATTGTCATGGGCCTGGGTCCGGCGCTCGTTGTCATGCTCACGGGACATCATTTTAATGGCATGTTGCAGTTGAAGTTCGGCGGTGCCTTCTATATACTGGGCATTATATTTTTTAAGTCAGATGGTCTAATTCCCATGGCTCACGCCATTTGGCATCTGTTCGTGGTGCTCGCCGCTGGCTGTCATTATTATGCGATTTTAGTAAACTTATATCCGAATGACTCCAATCATTTACAAACTAGTAGCTAAGTTAATGCTAGGTATGGGCATAGCTCACGGCTCACGGCTCCAAGGACCTTATCGTTGAATGTACTTAACTAACTGACCAACGGTTCCATTAATGGTAGATGGTGACCCACCAAAACTCTATTTGATTACGAATTGTATATTTGAAGTTGTTTTTATTATTTTTCTTTTTTTTGTTTTTTTTTGTATTGATAGTTTCTGAGATAACTGAATGTATTCCTTCCTACCAACAACCCATATAAGTTACTGCTCCAAAATTAGCCAAATTTTGTACAAAGTTTATAGTATTTAATTAATTTGTTTTTGTGTGGTACGAGTTGAGTTTTGCAAACGGATTTATATATTGTACGATAGCTGTAGTTCTAGATGTAGTAAGTTATAAAATTTGTTAGAATAAGGTAAAGGATTCTGAAGATATTCGATAATGAAAACGTATCTTGTGATCAACATCTGCGGTCTTGCCAAAGATTGGAATGGAAATTATTAATTCTCAAATCATATATAATATAAGAACATTCATATATATATACATAAATCTATACGTATATATATGACCGATTTTCTTGTAGGTAGACCAAACACCTATACACACATATATATATATTTATTTTTTTCTATATATATCATATAACTAGCTCACATATGACAATGTGTGCTTTAAAGACTAACAAAGTGTACAAACTCCAATAGTAGAACTTGAACTTCAACTTTGACGATTAAATCAACGCCTTTCAAAATACTGGAAGCCCGCCTAAATGAACATATACACACATAGTTATATAAAGACCTATGTATGCTATAATATATTACAAATATAATTAGTTATAGAACGAACATAAGCTTAACGCGAGCCAATGTTTGAGTGAAGGTGTTAGTTAGCCAGTCTGTTGTTCAGCGTGTTATGTTACTAAGTAGATAATTGCTCAGGGAATACTTATGCAGACCGCATTGGTGCTGTCTATCGGCGGTGTATGATTGCTATGGGGTGCAAAACGAATTCATTGGTTCGTGGTTAACGCACTTAACTTGTATACACAATTGTTTTTGGATGTTTGGCGAATTCCGAAGTGGATTATACAATGAATTATTGCTGAGCAGAATTTATATATTACAAAGGCATGAAATGAATTATACATTTGTAAAATTACTTAAATATTATATATATATACTACCTATACAAATACTAGATATATCTATGAATCTATACAATAAATATATTCCTGGTATGAAAGGTCAATCAACATTGCATATTGTTTTAATGGGCATTTATTTATTTGGAATATGGGTATTTGTATTTTATGTTTTTGCCATTAAAATGTCTTTGAATATAATAATGATTATTCGTTTTCTTCTGTTGGTTATGATATAAATATATTTACACAAATCAAATAAGTCAAGTGATTAATTACTTCAAAACAATTTGAATAGGCCAAAGCGCGCCAAATGTTTTAGCAGTGCTGTAAAATGCCAAAGACTATGATCACCAATATTATCGCAAATCTACTGCCGCCATACCACTAGTTACTATCGATAGCGAAAGGGAAATAAGGACAGCAGAGATATATGAGTTGTTTATGCTTTTCATTGACAGGGGAATCATGATAAAAGCAGGCGTTGACACATATTTTGCACTAAAACATAAGCTCGGGGCTGTGTTATAAAATCAGTTTTTGTATCAATGGTGCCTTGCTGTCATATTTAAGTATTATAAGAAAAAATATTAAATTGATGCCGTACCAGTGCTCAACTGAAAATCAAAAATTCGCACGTGATATCGATACATCGATATGCTGTTACCATATCTCAAAGCATATGAACAGTTCTATTTAATGGACAAGGAGAGGAAAGCCTATGATGCGCTCTTACAAACAGTAAATAATCGAGCGCGATGCTCCTCTGCAGCGGATGCATGCCTCTATCAGCGTCAATTGCAGTTCCTGCGCAACATCGAGAGCCAGACGCCCGCAGGGCCATATGGCGCGAGCACGGCGGCGCAGCTTGCACATCTGTTGGCAGAGGAGGCGCTGGCGGCCAGTGGGCAGGACGATGACTCAGTTAACCTGGACGCATGGCTGGTCTGGCTGAACGAGCTGCTCGTGAACCGAAAACAACAGCTCGGTGAGACGAAGCCGATTCTGGAGTGGCTCCTGCAACGAGTGGAGCAGAAATGCACAGTCGATGCGGTGCGCTGTCTGCTCCCGCTATTGGAATCATTGCCAGTGACCGACGCGCTCAAATATCTCCCACGTTTCGTTGCCATTCCATACCCGCGCAGCGTGGAGGCGACGTTGCTATTGGTGCTCTGCCAAGACAGACTGTTCAGCATGTTCTGCACGCCAAATACCGAACAGCAGACTAAGGAGCTACAGCTAAGCAGCCAGCTGGGCAATTCACTGCTGCAGATGCACTACGATGGACGCTTGGCAGAGATAGCAACAGCAGGTGACACTCAGCCGCATGCACAGCAGGAGCAGGAGGAGCTAACGATGTTGCTGGCCCACTCACTGCAGCTGCTTCAGAAGATAGCCAGCCACCATGCGGACTATGCCATACAGTATGCGCCGGAACTATTAGGCCTCGCCCTGGCCAACGTGCGATGCAGGGCAGATGGTGGCGCGACGGCGAAGGCGGCATATCAATTGCCACATCGGGTGCATCCGGCCCAGCAATCGGCCATCTATGGGCATGATGATGGGGACGTGGACACGACTGCTAGCAATCAGAATACAGCTGCTACAGGCAGGCGCGTCAAGTCGCGTAAGATGCGTTCGCTGACTAAGCAACGGAATGGCAATTGCAATAACAATAACAACCTCCAAGAAAGCAAAGGCGCCAGCAACACTCCGGGACACGAAGATCGGATGAAGCTGCTGTTGCTGGGTAACAATGAGTACGGCTGTCGTACGCCGAGCGGCGACTCCGAGGGCGGCTGCACGCCCAGCTCAGACGGCGCCGGGCCACAGGTGGCAGGCCAGAAACAGCAGCGCCAGCGCCAGGTGAAGTTGCGCATTGCAGCACTGCAGCTGATGGGCGCCGTCACCAAGCAGTTGCCCCGCCGCACCCTCTATGGCTACTGGCATGTGCTCTTCCCGAGTGGCGACAGTGATGGCGGTGCAGCCGGTGGACGCGATAATAGAGATCACCTGCTGTACATTGGCGCCAGCGATGGCAACGTACGCTGTCGCGCCCTGGCACTGCAGCTGGCTGCACAGCTGTTGTACGGCTCCAAGCCTTATCTCAGCCAGGCTAGCTGCGCCCTGGCGCCCAGCAACTACACACCGTTTGCGATGAGTCTGGCTAACAGCGTCATGGAGGCGTATCGCCAGCTAGCTGGCATACTGGAGCGCGAATATGTGCCGCCGGTGCTGACGCAGTGTCTCAAGTGCCTGGCGGTTCTGGTGCAGGCTACTCCGTTCGAGCAACTGCAAATGGGCATCGTCTATGAGTTTGTGCCACACGTCAAAATATTGACGCGGCATGCCGACACTAGCGTCAAGGTGTCCGCACTGCTGGTCATGGAAATGCTGGTGGCCACGCCACGACTGACCCAGGAAATGGCCTGCGCTGTGGGTCTGCCGCTGAAGGAGCGACGCGCTGTCAACATGTTGCACGCATCGCCGCGCCACAATGCCCATCAGGAGCAGGTGCAGCAATTTGAATTACTTTACGACTCCGATGCAGAGGAGTTTGAGGATGAAGAGGAGGCAAACGAAGAGGTAGAGGAGCAGCACGAGGAGGAAGAGGAGCAGAGCTCACCTATGGCAGCAAAATCAGCTGCAGCTGAGAAAACTCCCATTGTTTTGCCTCAGGGTCGCATTCCACGCAACTCGTGGCTGCTGCGCCTCGTGCTGCGCTATCTGGACTGTCCGATGAGCGCGTCGCCGCTGCGCGTCGAGTGTCTGCAGGTGCTGCTGGCCATGACCACCCACTTTGGCCTGTTGCGCGAGCATCTAGCGCGTCTGGCCGATGTGCTGTGCAATGCCCTGCAGGACAGCTCGTGGGATGTGCGTCTCTATGGGGCAAGAGCCTTGGACGCCATTGGCTTCCAAATGGCCCGCCTTGCCTTGGAGCAGACAGAGCACAGACCGGAGCAACAGCAGCAGCATTTGAGCTTCTGGCTACGCATGCTGCCTACGATCTATGATGCTTATTCCAATGCCGAGACGGCCACGCTGCGGTGTTCCTTATGCGATGCACTCTCCAACATAGGCGGCTACAGCTTCGAGCGACTGCCCCAGGCGCAGCGCACCGGGCTGCTGGCCTTCCTCTTGGGCTGCAGCAGCGACGATGCAGCGGATAGCCTGGTGCGAGCAGCGGCCGTGCGGGCCCTCGCTGTTTACGTGTTGCATCCGACGATGCGCGATGATTTGGTGTTTGTGGAGCATGCCGCAGAGCTAGCGCTGCAACTTATAAGCGACGCTCAGCTGGCTGTGCGGATCAAGGCCGCCTGGTCGCTGGGCAACATAAGCGATGCACTAGTGCAGACCGAACGACCGGAGGAACCCCGTGAGAAGGAGCGCATCTCGCAGGCACTGCTCGGGCGCCTTATCGAAGCGGCTATTCTCGCCTGTGGCGACCACGACAAGGTCCGCGCCAATGGGGTGCGTGCCATGGGCAATCTGCTGCGGCTGCTGTCCGGCGAGGAGCACGCGCTCATGCAGCGGGCCATGGCCAAGCTGTTGGATTGTGCGCGCGCTGCGGGCAGCGCCAAAGTCAAGTGGAATGCCTGCTATGCCATTGGCAACCTGGTGCGCAATCGTGCAATATTCTCAACGAGCGCCAAATTGGCGGACACGCTGTTCGCGGCGCTCAGCCAGCTGATTGTGCAGCACGCGAACTTCAAGGTGCGCATCAATGCCACCGCCGTGTTGCTACAGATCGAGCATAGGGCGGACATGGGCGTGCACTATGCCAGCATGTGGCGCTCGCTATTGGCGGCCATCGAACGATCCAATGCTCTAGACTCCTTCGAGGAGTACAACCATCGCGACGGACTACAGCAACAGCTCTGCCTGGCCATGGCCCACATGATCGAACGAGCGCGCGCCGACGATCTGGCGCCCTGTCGCGATGCGCTCGAATCGCATCTGGACGTGGTCAGCAGCACCTGGCGGCGCGTCGCCTATCGCATTGTGCCCGAGCAGGCGACGCCACTCTTCACCTGCAGCTCCCTGCTACAGAAGCGCCTAGGTGCCGCCGCCCTCACGGCGGACCAGCGAAGCGCCCTTACATTCATCAGCAATGCCCTGCGCGTAGAGAGCTAACTCAATTGCCAGTTAATCGTATTACCTACCAATGGAATAAATCCCTTTTTTACGTAACCCAAATAACAAATCATTTTTCACCAATAAACTTAATGCGAGCAAATCGAGATTTGAGTTTCGTCTAATTCTTTTGAATGAGTCCAAAAACTGCTGCGAATAGCGGACGGCTTAGCTTCAGATTTGTTTAAATTATATTTTTTTGTAAGAGTTTTTATTTAACGCATAAATGTGTATACATGATTTTTGACAAAAAAAAAAAAATTATATTCTACTTGTTCTAGTTGTTGATTTAAAGTGTAATCAATCTAGTGCGATAGCTGTTGTTAATTTCTGTTGACAACAACAGCGAAAGTTGGCGCGTCGATGTTGATGACAGTTGATTGCTAAGTTTTTGCTAGATTCAATATTACATTATATTATATTATTTCGCTTACCGATAGTAAGGCTTAGCATGCACACACATCATAAACCGATCAATGTGTGTGCCGTGTATATACTGTATACATACATATATTTAGAATAAGCATAGATATATGTATATGTATATGCAAAGGTATATGTATAGGTATATGTATATGGATGACTCGCAATAAAAACTATTAAAAGGATGCACACGTATTAAATTAAACAATAAGTAAAATGATAACCGTTCTTGCTGTCATTAAAAATAACATTGCAGATGCCTCCAACGTGAATTTCATATATCTGGCATTTCAGTATGAATTCACCCCCCCTCTCCCGCCCCACGCCCCATTATCCCCGTGACCCCCACAAATTCTATACCCTTGTGACCAAGGCTCAAAGCTGCTCCTGTTCCAACTGTTTTTACTCGTCTTGTTGTCTCGCTGTCTTTTTCCGTTCGGCCTTGCGCTCATCGAGAATCGCCTGCTGCTCCATCCTACGTCGTTTCGTGTCAATTGGACTTACGGCGTTGTCATCGAAATCCAACACTCGCTTTCCAGAGCCAAGCACAATTT